AGATCCTTGTGGTCATTGAACCATTGCTGATTGATGAAGATTACTATGCTAGAGTGGAAGGCCGAGAGATTATTTCTAATTTGGCAAAGGCTGCTGGTCTGGCTACTATGATCTCTACCATGAGACCCGATATAGATAATATGGATGAATATGTTCGTAACACAACAGCTAGAGCTTTTGCTGTTGTAGCTTCTGCCCTGGGCATTCCTTCACTACTGCCCTTCTTAAAAGCTGTGTGCAAAAGCAAGAAGTCCTGGCAAGCGAGACACACTGGTATTAAGATTGTACAGCAGATAGCTATTCTTATGGGCTGTGCCATCTTGCCACATCTGAGAAGTTTAGTTGAAATCATTGAACACGGTAAGTTGTTATATAAATTTGTCTATCTTTATAAGACAGGTGTCCTAAATTTGCATTCCTGATTTGGAGTGATTAATGGAAGGTCTTTAACTGCATAATCACCATAAAGTTTATAATGGGATTTATAATATTATCTGCTAATAGTTTGCAGTTTATTACCGCTTTTGCCTAATTTTGTCTAATGTGAATAGATTCTGCAGTTAGATTACATTGCTAGATTATGTGGAAATTAAGTAATATTGTTGCTTAGTTAAAACCTGTATTTGGTTTTATAGGTCTTGTGGATGAGCAGCAGAAAGTTCGGACCATTAGTGCGTTGGCCATTGCTGCCTTGGCTGAAGCAGCAACTCCTTATGGTATCGAATCTTTTGATTCTGTGTTGAAGCCTCTGTGGAAGGGTATCCGCCAACACAGAGGAAAGGTAGATCCACCAATTAGATTTCTTTTTCCTACTCATTGAAGCTAATGCAACTTAATTCCAGTTTACTAAGTACATATATGTTTATTTTAAAATAGGGTCTGGCTGCCTTCTTAAAGGCTATTGGGTATCTTATTCCTCTCATGGATGCAGAATATGCCAACTACTATACTAGAGAAGTGATGTTAATCCTTATTCGAGAATTCCAATCTCCTGATGAAGAAATGAAGAAAATTGTGCTGAAGGTAATTGTCCCAAATTATTATTGTTCCAGGTTTGTTCATCTAAATTGGGTGTGTTTTATGGTTCAAAAAGAGTTTCAAAGCATTTTTTAAAAAAGCTTACATATTAAACCAGGACTGTGTTTACAATTATTGTTTTTAACCTTTTAGGTGGTAAAGCAGTGCTGTGGAACAGATGGTGTAGAAGCAAACTACATTAAAACAGAGATTCTTCCTCCCTTTTTTAAACATTTCTGGCAACACAGAATGGCTTTAGATAGAAGAAATTATCGACAGGTAAGCTTTCATTGTAAAAAAAAAATTAAAATCCTTTCAACTAACTTAATTTTTTAGTTAGTTTGAGTGCATGTTATATATTATTTTTTTGCCCTGATTACCTCATAGTTTGTATGTGCTTGATTGTGAAAGGAGATGGGTTTTAGTCAGTCAGGTAAGTTCCATATTGATTGTGCATTCTAGTGTACATAACCCAACTCTGAATTGATGTCTTTGTCTAGTTAATGAAATGCTTGGTCTGGCTGGGGAAATATGAATGTAATACCTTAAATCACCTCGACTTAGACGCAAATGTAAATTATTTTGGTTATCTTTCTCTTAAGTTTTAGAAATAGGAGTTGATAGTTCTCAGCATGCTCACTAGCTGAATAGTATTTTTAGAACTTTTGCTTTTCATGTTGTCTATTTCCAAAGAACAATAAATTCAATGCTGCCCCCCCCCCCCTTTTAGTTAGTTGATACTACTGTGGAGTTGGCTAACAAAGTAGGAGCAGCAGAAATTATATCCAGGATCGTGGATGATCTGAAAGATGAAGCTGAACAGTACAGAAAAATGGTGATGGAAACAATTGAGAAGATTATGGGCAACTCGGGAGCAGCAGATATTGATCACAAACTTGAAGAACAACTGATTGATGGCATTCTTTATGCTTTTCAAGAACAGACTACAGAGGTAATGATACTAATTAGGACAAGTTGCCACTGACTTTCATACTATAAAAAAGCATGTTATTTACCAGCACATAACTAAAGAGTAATTGAATTTGAAGTAATTTTTAAATGTTCATGTTCTCTTTCAGTTAGCTATGTGGAAATATTCTACCTTAAATTTTTAGATATCATTTTGTTAAAAACTGAATATCAGTATATTTCAACCTTTTAGTCACAAACTGAATTCTAGTTCCCAATGAATGTAGCTTTTAAGAATTTAGTTTTCGTTTTGTTTTTTTTTTAGGACTCAGTAATGTTGAACGGATTTGGCACAGTGGTCAATGCACTTGGCAAACGGGTGAAACCTTACTTGCCTCAGATCTGTGGTACAGTTTTGTGGCGTTTAAACAACAAATCCGCAAAAGTTAGGCAACAGGCAGCTGACTTGATCTCTCGAACTGCTGTTGTTATGAAGACTTGCCAAGAGGTAAACTTTTATGTCAGATACTTACTTCTTCACCATATAGTTTAATGTGAATAGTAACCTTTTAACATTATTTATTACAGGAAAAATTGATGGGGCACTTGGGTGTTGTTTTGTATGAGTATTTGGGTGAAGAGTACCCTGAAGTATTGGGAAGCATTCTTGGAGCACTGAAGGCCATTGTGAATGTAATAGGTATGGAATTTGCTGGTCATGTAAGAATTTTTTTGTTTTGGTTTTTAACTTTCTTTTATTTATTTTTTAAGTAAATTATGGAATTATACTTGGGGGTTGAGTAATGATTTCCGGTACCTTTTTTTAAAGTACTTCAAAATTATAGTTAAGTCGGGGTGATGTCACAATAGTCTTATCTCCCAAACCCATTTATATTTTACTTTAAAAGAGAAAAGCGGGCAAATTTAGGACCTACAGGAGAGGTGGGAGTAATCACAGCTCAAAAAGTGTCTTGCCTGAAATATATTTGGGGGCAGGAGGACAACGCTGAAGTTTTAGTTTTTTGGACGAAGTATAGATCTATTCAACCTTGAATAAATAAGTGCTGATGGCAGGTTTTTCTGCTTTCTTTCAAGTGTTAGGAACATAACCAGGGAGAAAAGTGAATTGTTCAAGTTGTTTATCTTGTTTTTATTTATATCCAATTCTTTATCCATTCAGTTTTCTAACCCAAACTAAAAACAAGTATATTACATTTACTTCTGGGTATTTTACTTTTTAAGTTCAGTATGCTGAAATAAATGTTCTTTCGTGTTTAATCCTTCATTATAATTGAATATGACTATTGCAAAAGTAACTTCTATAGGGCAGGAAGTTAAAATAGCTGGCTGTGAAAGCCACTGTTTCCTTTTAGTAAGGGGTTTTTATGCAATATAGGACATCTTTGAACTATTGCACTTACATATAATACCCAATTCAGTCCTGTCCTCTATACTTAAAGTAGCTACTTGGCCAAAAATCAGTTACTTGGCCACTTGTGGGACTCTAGTTTGCAGGGAGTTGTAAACCATATTGTTGGTGAGGGAAACATGGGAAAAGCAATGGAGAGAGAATCAGAGCAAGCAATTTTAGTTAGAGCAGGAGCCCCTGCCAGCTGCCTCCTTTTTTCTCTCTTCATAGGTATAAATACCACCCAAGTATGCCCTGCATTGCAGGGAGACTGGAGATCTGTTTGTTTTGCAGTTAAAGGGTAAGGGGCCCTTTCTGGAAAATTGTGCTTTAATTTACATGTCTACCTCTGGCTTACATTGTGTTTGGCCGGAACATAAGCTGTCTTTTCATAGGCAGCTGTAAGTTTATATTTATGCCTGGCCACATGTATTATATTGCTAAGTAAAAGGTAAAATGGACAGAGATTGCAGTTCAAATGTTAATTGACAGTGCGTTGGCTCTATTAAATAGGTATGCATAAGATGACTCCACCAATTAAAGATCTGCTGCCTAGACTCACTCCCATCTTAAAGAACAGGCATGAAAAAGTACAAGAGAATTGTATTGATCTTGTTGGGCGTATTGCTGACAGGTAAGAGATTAAACATTTTTATAAGCAGTATTGGCTTTCATATTTAAACACTTTATTTACTTTGCAAGTTTGCTTAACATTGCTAATGTTAGTATATATGGTTAGGTTATCAGTATTAATATTTTCAGTGAAATTTCAATTTGGATGGTACTAGGGGTGGTTAGCAATACAGTTGTAAGACTAAATTATCTTTCCTGAAGAGTAATTGTTTTATTTAATGCTTAAAGTGAGTTGGTAATTGTGTTTTGAGAACTGGATTTGTAAATTTACCTTTTAAGACTTACTAGCACAAAAATTTAACTTTTTTTTCTTTTTCTTTTCTTTTTTTTTTTTTTAAGGGGAGCTGAATATGTGTCAGCAAGGGAGTGGATGAGGATTTGCTTTGAGCTTTTGGAGCTCTTAAAAGCTCACAAAAAAGCTATTCGTAGAGCCACAGTCAACACATTTGGTTATATTGCAAAGGCCATCGGGTGAGTACTATTTATTTCCATACACACACACACACACACACACACACACACACATAAATATATATGTATATTTTTTTAATCCTCACCCAAGGATATTTTTCTATTGGTTTTTAGAGAGAGTGAAAGGGAAGGAGGAGCAGGGAGATAGAAAGAGGAAGAGAAAGAGAAACATCAATGTGAGAGACACATCGATTGGTTGCTTCCCGCACACCCTTGACTCAGGGCCCGGAATTGAACCCTTGACCCTTCAGTCTGTGGGCCAATGCTCTAACCTTTGAGCAAAACCAACCAGGGCATTCATGTATTTATGCATGTATGTATGTATGTATGTATGTATTTTGTAGTAAACCTCTTGTGATGTTGAAAAATGCTTCTATTTCTGTAGAAATTTCTTTTAGGGCATAATGTGAGTAATGCAGTTGTGAAAGTACCTTATTTATGCACTAACCTTCAGTTATTGAAGTTTGAGTTAAAACAGGTGGAGGTTTTTAAATTTCATTTAATCAGTTATTTTCAGAGAGGGAAACTACAACTCTCAAAATAATTCCAAATTTTTGTTGGTGCTTTTTTTGGATAATGCTTGAAATATTAAGGCCCGTTCTTAATTTAAAAATCAGCATAATTCAGGGCTTATGTTAGTGTTTTTAAAATATTTTTAAAAAATTAATCCACAGACAACTGAATTATAGCTATTTTATTAATAAATCTAAGGTTATTTGCTTCCATTTCTGTCAGAATCAAACTACAGTCATTACAGAAAAATGAGGCACTACAATGTACCATGTGGTTTGTTAGTAAATGAGCAAATATTTTCAAGCAATAAAACATAGCTAAAGTCATATTAATTAGACGAAGTTTTCCACCACACCGTGTTTGGCATCAGTGTATTTATTTAGCGTTAATGTAGTCAAGAAATTCGCAATGAATACCTGTTGTGCTAATGTTTATCCCCTGTGTCCCTTTAAGTTTGTGGTCCAATAATGCTTAAAGAAGGAGAATATTTAAGTAAATGTATTTGGGAGGGAAGATAGAAAAGGAAAAGATTTTGTGTGTTGTGGCATGGGTATTACTGTAAGGTTGCCTCATTCTAGTGGCCATGGTTTGAACACTCAATCAATCTGACCATTTAATTAAATCTCCTTATATTTAAAGAAATTTACTAAGGACTCAAAATTACTTTTGAAAGTGAATACATTTGAATTTTTCTTTAAAATGGGGCATTTTAATTTAAATGAAGTTCTTAAGTAGAAACAATGCCAGTGACTTGAAAATATTGTATTTTATCATAAAATTACTAAGTTCCCAGTGATTACTTACCGTAGTTTCATTTCTTTGCATTGTTCTTTTCCCTCTGAAAACAGTTTTGACCTGTAATCTAACAGTTTGCTGACATTTATTTTTTTCAGCCCTCATGATGTGTTGGCTACACTTTTAAACAACCTCAAAGTTCAGGAAAGGCAGAACAGAGTGTGTACCACTGTAGCAATAGCTATTGTCGCTGAAACATGTTCACCCTTCACAGTGCTCCCTGCCTTAATGAACGAATACAGAGTTCCTGAACTCAATGTTCAAAACGGAGTGTTAAAGTCCCTTTCCTTCTTGTTCGAATATATCGGTGAAATGGGCAAGGACTACATTTGTGCTGTCACACCATTACTGGAAGATGCTTTAATGGATAGGTAAGTGACTTGAATGAAATACAAGAAATAGTTATAATTCTTGCTTTATTTTAGAATTTATGGAAATAATTATTATGGGACCCGTTATTTATGATGTAGTTAAAGGGGGATGCTCCCCTGAATGAAACTATGACTATTGTTATCTTCAAATAATATAAATGCTACAAGGGCCCCCCTTCCCTTTCATATGTTAGACTAAATACATTTTGAAAACCAGCAATTGATCAACTTTTATTTTAAAAATAACTAGTCATAATAATTGGAGAATGAGGAGCATGGCCTTATTGGTGTGGCAGAGACCTGATCTTTTTAGCTTTTGTTATTGCAGGTGAAGCAAAGGTTTCTGTTAGGCTTTTGAACTACTGAACATAGCTGGCCAGAGCCACACTGTTCCCATTGTATGCCCCAAATTATTCAGATGGTGACGTGATACACTACTGCTCGAGTTATTTGACAGTAGATTCCTGATACCTTTAACCATCTAGGACAGTGATGGCGAACCTTTTGAGCTCGGCGTGTCAGCATTTTGAAAAACCCTAACTTAACTCTGGTGCCGTGTCACATATAGAAATTTTTTGGTATTTGCAACCATAGTAAAACAAAAACTTATATTTTTGATATTTATTTTATATATTTAAATGCCATTTAACAAAGAAAAATCAACCAAAAAAATGAGTTCGCGTGTCACCTCTGACATGCGTGTCATAGGTTCGCCATCACTGATCTAGGACTAACATAATTTTTAAACACAAAAGTAATTAAAGGACATGTAAGGGAAAGTTTAAGGTCTAAGTAGTAAGGGACTGTTTCATTGCCAATATTTTTCAGGAAAAATAAGTTACTCAAATTAGAGCCTATTCAGTTAGTTACTTGTTTACAGATTAAAGTTACTCATTAATGATCTTCCAAAAGGGAGACTTAACAGACTCAACAAGTTACCACAAGTAACTTGTAAGGCCTGGGGACAGAATAAGAATCATGTTCTTTATAGGCCTGCCCAGCTGGAGCTAGTAAAGTAGGAGTACGTCATACGTACTCCATATTCTTCGGTGAGATGTCTCTGTGCATCAGAGTGCAGTCACTGATGTGTGACTGAAGTTAAAAATCATGTGGAGTGACAAAGTTGTCGAAAATTACTAAGTGAAAAGGAAAAATATTTTAGTTGGGAAATGTATTAATGAGGAATACTGCCTTGCTATGTATGAAGCTTAATATATTAAACATTATTACAGTAGATAAAAGTAATAAGGATACTAGTAAAGTTCAAGTATATTTTTTTTCTTCTGTCTTTACGATATTCTAACTACTACCTTTGAGGGCAAAGAGCATGAACTCATTTTTATGTCCCGGTTGTTCTGCCATTTGGTCGATTTGCATATTAGGCTTTTATTATATAGGATTATAAATCTTCACCTGAAGATATTTTTTCCATTGATTTTGAGAGAGAGGGAAAGACTGAGAGAAATATCGATATGAGAGAAACATAGATTGGTTGCCTCCTGCACGCACCCTGGCAAGGGCCCAGTCCATGGAGGAGCCTGCAACTGAGGTAGTGCCCTTGACCGGAATTGAACCCGGGACCCCTCAGTCCGCAGGCCCACACTTTATTCACTGAGCCAAACGGCTAGGGCACCAAATTGCATTCTTGAATGAAACTTAGAACATATGAGGTCAGGGATTTGATTTTAATTTTGTTATCTATTTTATCCCAGTATTGAATTACTTCTAAAGATTTTCAATTTATAGAGTTTAAGATGAGATATTACTGTTATTTATTTAGTAGCCTACTAACATGTACACTGAACAAGGCTCTCACAGTCTTACTCTTTTTAAAGGTCTGTTAGAAAATAATGGCTTATTTTTTTAGCCTTGGTGAGATTTGAGTCATTAGAAGTTCTCAAGTAGAACTGTTAGTCACTCTAAAAGCTTTCCATATCAGATGCCAGGTGTGAGGAGGACTGTCTTCCATGCACTGAACTTCAGTTAGTTTCTAATGGGTGGTGAATACTTCCTGTAAAACTAAGACTGTATCTAACAAAAAGGTTTTTTTTTTCCATTGCAGGGACCTTGTACACAGACAGACGGCTAGTGCGGTGGTGCAACACATGTCACTGGGGGTTTATGGAGGTTGTGAAGTTCCATGCACTGAACTTCAGTTAGTTTCTAATGGGTGGTGAATACTTCCTGTAAAACTAAGACTGTATCTAACAAAAAGGTTTTTTTTTTCCATTGCAGGGACCTTGTACACAGACAGACAGCTAGTGCGGTGGTGCAACACATGTCACTGGGGGTTTATGGATTTGGTTGTGAAGATTCGCTGAATCACTTGTTGAACTATGTATGGCCCAATGTGTTTGAGACATCTCCCCATGTAATTCAGGCAGTTATGGGAGCCCTGGAGGGCTTGAGAGTTGCTATTGGACCATGTAGAATGTTGCAGTATTGTTTACAGGTAGGTTAAAGATTTGAAAAGATAACAATGAAAAAAGTAATTTAGTTGAATTAAGTCACTGTTCCTAATTTTTAATAGGGTACATTGTGCCACGTGGGACAACAGAGTTGTGGGGAGGGGGAATTAGATTTTGTCTTTGTTCACTGCAGTTGTTCTGTCTTAAAGGGAAATGTTTGGAATCATGTATTTATGGTTTGTTGTGTTAAGGTTGTGTATGTTCTTTGAAAATTGAAATAATGTAATCTTTTAATTATTCTAGGGTTTGTTTCACCCAGCCCGTAAGGTCAGAGATGTGTATTGGAAAATTTACAACTCCATCTACATTGGTTCACAGGATGCTCTCATAGCACATTACCCAAGAATCTATAATGATGATAAGAACACCTATATTCGTTATGAACTTGACTATATCTTATAATTTTGTTGTTTATTTTGTGTTTAATGCACAGCTACTTCACACCTTATACTTGCTTCGACTTGGTGATGTACACTTTTAAACATTGCAGATGAGCATAAAACTGGTCATAGAGGAAGAGCTAGAAATCCAGTAGCATGATTTTTAAATAACTTGTCTTTGTTGTTGATGTTAAACAAATGCCAGTAGTAGTGACCAAGAACACAGGGACTACACACACTATACTGGAGGGGTTTCATTTTTAATTCATCTTTATGAAGATTTAGAATTCATTCCTTGTGTTTAAAGGGAATGTTTGAGAAATAAAACATTTGTGTACAAAATGCTAACTTGTGTGTGTTTTTTGAACATGACTTGTAAAATGCAGGAACTTTGATAAAGTATTGGTTTGTGTAGAATAAATGGCTTAATTTCATTTTCTGTCACCTGGTTTATAGAAAGTAGCAGAATATAAACTATATAAAGTGATATGGCGTCTTTGTCCAATGTTATTGTTCTGTTGATAATGACAGTGAGAAGAGTAGCTTTTGGGGTGTTCATCTCAAATTAGCACAACTGTCCCATCACCATAGAAAATATATCACCTTTGCTGAACTGTCTTGAATATTATTATTTTGCACTTACATAGCGCCTTTCATCTCTTGAATTCTCAAAATGCTTTATGAACACGTTTAAGGAAAGTGATTCAAGTCATGTCCAGCTGTTGATGAGTGTGCATTTAGGAAGTGGAGAAGGTATCTTTTTAAGACTGTTTTCTACCTATTGGGAGTGAGGCTACCTAAGGAATGCTACTAGAATAAGCCAGTCTTCGGGCTCTTTTCCATGTCATAAGCCACTAAACAATGTGTTCAATAAATACCTGCTGAGCACCTACTGTGTACCAGCCACTGTGCTTAGTGTACGGGATGCAAAGGTGCCTTTGACCTGCCCCTGGCCCTTAATGCAGTATAATGGGGAAGGTGCGAGACATCTCGGTACATGTTATGTATTCCGTGCTATGATGCACCATTGCAGCAGCTGAAATGTCTGCTTAGTTTTGCATTTAGTAATTAGATAAATTGGTGTATAGGGGTCAAGCATAAACTGAAATGCCATTAAGTTCTAGAGGAACCAAGCATTTAGGCAATAATTAGTGTTATTTGGCAAGTACTTTAAGTATATTTTTAGCTTTTCCTAATTTCCTGGCTTTTGTCCTTTTCTACCTATGGCTGTTTTGTTTTGTCTCCCTATGCTAGCCCTTCTGTGAACTCTTAAGGGGACCTAAGATTCTGCAGCAGCACATGCGTGGGAGACTGCCACTGTAAGTAAAATCGCACGGGGACTAGGAGGTTTGTTCCTTGACCTGCTAACACCCAGGACCCCTGTTTTGAAGGTTACATGAGAAACAGTTTGTAATTGGCTGACTTACAAAATCAATATTGAGCATTAGTTGACTCTCCAGGAAGAACTTGTAACTTCTTATGTTCCTTGTATAAAATAACTTTGTGACAACAGGTCAGTATGTACTAAAACACGATTTCCAAAGTCATTTTTCTAAAGTTTTTGCAACTTTAAATCTTGCTGTTCTCTATAGTTTCTGACAGATGGCCTTCAGTAATTAGTAATCATGAAAATGAACACAATTAGATTTCAAAGCCAAAATTTGATTTTAAATCAGTCTCGGGGGAATTTAGTTATATTTTTCACTTTAAGTACTTGTATAACTTCAGTTTGCTTGGGCCCATGTTTTTATGGAAACTCAATGCTTTGCAGACAGAGGCACTGTGGAGCAAAAGAGACTACTAGCCACCTTAAGTGACTTTTTACTGATGCAAATAGTTTGAGGACAGAGATGAAGGAAATACTGAAGGCTCCGACCTTCATAGTTGGGACCAAATAGAGGCTCACAGATATTTGCATTATTTTATATGCTTGTTGAATAATGAAAGCATTTTGTGACATGTGAAAGACGCTATGTGAAGTTTAACTATCTTTCAAAAACTTCCTTTTGCACTTTCTTTTGGTGTTTCTTAAAGCCAAACTTAAACAGGAAGAAATTAATGTTCTTAAGGGAACAGTGGGTGGGTCTTTCTGGGGGCTCTTGTTGGTTTTTCTGTAAGCCCTCTTATGGAATTGATCTCTTTGGCTGTTCAATTTTTTTCATATTGTATTTTTAAAATTTGTTGTATGGTGCCATGTGAGCATCACGTACCACCAAATGAATAAAACTTATATCTAAAGTCTTTAGACCAGTTTTTGATTGTCGTTGACTCTGTTACCGCCGTACTACACATCGTGCTGCACTCCATTGTGGTTGGGCCATTTTAATAATACCTATTTGGGTGGTTTTTCCAAACAAGGGAACTTAATGTTGAAAAACCAAATAAGAAACTGAAAAAATTGCAGCCACATAGGTTTCTGATACCTTTTAAATTGCAAAAAGTTAAAAGGAGCAGAAACTACCATTATCACAGGGCTTCTCAACCATGGCATTATCGACATTTGGGCCACATAAATCTTCACTGGGGGGTGCTATCTTGGGCGTCAGCAGCATCATTGATGTCCACCCACTAGATGCCAGTAGCACCCCCATGCCAGCTGTGACAACCAAACATGGCTTGGATACTGTCTGGAGGGCAAAATGGAGACGATGGTTTAAGCAGGACTCACACAGGATGGGTAAAATTAGAGCATATCATTTAGTCTGTTGTTGCCGAGGAAGTAACTAGAAATACTATTTCACAAATACTTAAGACACACCTTGAGTAAAGCTCTGCATCAGTCCGGGGAAAGCAAGCTGAAAACGTGTTCATCGCTGTCGGTCCTCCCGCCCGAGCCAGCGGAGCCAGCGGAGTGGTATGGCTGGAGGAGGAGGACAGGCAGGACAGAGACCGTTTCTCCTTAGAAAAGTGGAGAGGAAGCCACAGAACAAAATGATTTGCAAGGCAGTCAAGGGGTTCTATAGGCAGGAGGGAGTGAGTAAAGTGTGGGCCAGGGACATTTCTAGTGTTCATGCTGGAAAAACAAGTTTTAAAAATTATTTTTAAATAGTTTTGAGAGGAGGGGAAAGCTAGGAACATCAATGATGAGAGACAATGAGAGAATCATTGATCGGTTGCCTCCTGCATGCTCCCTACTGGGATCGAGCCCGCAACCCTTGACCGGAATTGAAGCCGGGACCCTTGAGCCTGCAGGCCAACGCTCTATCCACTGAGCCAAACCAGCTAGGGCTAAAAATTTATTCTTAATAGTTATTGTACAATCTAAGAAGATTATAAAGGACATGCTTTCATGTCATATGGACAAATAGACTTTTTAATGGCCTAGTATTACAATTTTTTAGGAGATTTTTAACATGTTAGTGAAGCTTTGGAGGGGATTTGGTCTGAAATACTATCCTAAAATTTGTGCTAGGAATATATAAATAGGTTTAAGTTGTTAATTATTTTTATATCTAACCCCCCCCCCCAATTTGGCTAAATTAGCTGTTTTTTAAATAGTGTAATTTCATGAAATAATTTATCACTATTACTGTAGACTAGGAATTTGGGATTAGACAGGAGGAGGCTGATGAGCAAAAGTAGATAGTTGCTTGAGTGAGTTTTTTTTTAAAATATATTTTACTGATTTTTTTACAGAGAGGAAGGGAGAGGGAAAGAGAGTTAGAAACATCGATGAGAGAGAAGCATCGATCAGCTGCCTCCTGCACACCCCCTACTGGGGATGTGCCTGCAACCAAGGTACATGCCCTTGACTGGAATCGAGCCTGGGACCCTTCAGTCCGCAGGCCGACGCTCTATCCACTGAGCCAAACCAGTCAGGGCTTGAGTGAGTTTTTGATGAGGTAGAAAGAGGTGGGAGTCAGGATGCATATGGAGGGATTTTTTTTTTTTTACAAATATCTTTCCCTGAGTCAGTAAAGAAGATAACGTGGGATGTAGGCATGAAAATTTTGCCTAAGAATATGTCAGAGAATATAAAAATACAAAAGTTAGTGTTTCGTTAGGAACAAGTAGACCCAAATGAATCAGACATATACAGAAAATTCAAACCAAGCAAAGTGAAAATCTGGTAGAGTTGACAGCTGGTGTATATAGTATGTAATGTGTATAACGTGTAATGTGTGGCTGGATGCTTTGTACAGTTTTGTCACAAAGCACAGAATCTACTTTGCACATTTGGGGAGATAGTCTCTTAGCACAGCGTGATCAAGGAAGAACTGTTCATGTGCCAGTGTCTAGGTCATTGCCACTCAAAGGTGGTCTGGCCATTGGCAGCAGCAAAGTTCTTGGAGCTTTTAAAATAGACTCTTAGGTAGCATTCCAGGCCTACTGAAGAAAGATCTGCGTTTCAGTAAATGCTCAGATTTACAAGTACATGGAAGTTTGAGAAGTGATAGTCTAGGCACAGCTCCATCCACTGCAGTGTGGCAGTGACACAGTAATAAAAGGTTCAGAGCCCTGGCTGGTGTGCCTGGTTGTGTGTTGTCCCATGCACAGGAAGGTCGCCAGTTGGATTCCCAGTCAGGGCACACACCTAGGCTGCAGGTTCGATCCCCAGTTGAGGCACATGTGGATGGCAACCGATTAATTTTTCTCATATTGATGTTTCTTCCCTTTCTCTCTAAAATCAATAAAAACATTGAAAATAATAATAAAAGGTACAGAAGTACCACTCCAGCTGGGTGGCTTGGTTGGAGTATCGTCTTCTACACCAAAAAGTTTATGGGTTCGATCCCCAATCGAGGCATGTACATGAGGCAACCAATTGATGCTCTTTTCTCTCTCTCTCTCTCTCTCTCTCTCTCTCCCACCCCCCCTTCTCCCTTCTCCTCCCTTCTCCCCTCCCTCTTTTTCTCAAGTCAATAATAACATATCTTCACATGGAGGTACCTACTTAAGCATAGATACAGATAGCCAAGAGGTGGTCAGTACCGCTAGGATGGTACTTTGCTGAAACCTGGGTGAAATCAAAAGTGAGGGAACAAGAGAAGGATAAATTTTATTGCAGAAAATAAATTTATTTTTCCAATAAGGCTATGGAATAGACTGAATGTTTGTGTCCTCCAGAATTCATATGTTGAAACCAATTTCTTATGTGATGGCTATTAGGAGATGAGGCCTCTGGGAGGTCATGAGGTCATGAGGGTGGAGCCCTTATGAATGGGATTAGTGCCCTTATGAAGAAGAGATGTGAGCGCTGGTCGTCTCTCTGCTCTCTGCCTTGTCAGGATACAATGAGAAGATGGTCATCTGTAAACCAGGAAGCAGCAGGCCCTCACCAGACAATGGATCTTGCTGGCATCTTGATCTTGGACTTCCCAGCCTCCAGAACTGAGGAATAATTTGGTTGTTGAAGCCACCCAGTCTGGTATTCTGTTCTAGCAGCCTGAACTGAGCAGGCTGGTTAGGTCAATGCGGTTCATAAACCTCATGGGCATATATCCATATTGCTTCTCCTCCTTAACTGACATTGGTTGTAGGACCTTGGACAAAGGGAGGCTCACTCTTCTGAGGCCAGGGTGATATGGATGGGAGCTGGAGCCAGACGCCTGTTGAGAATCCTCTCCCTGCTTTTACTGTGCCGAGGGAAGAGAAGGGTCAATATAGTATGGGCTTGCCAGTTGGCGCTGGAGTTTGTCAAAACCAGGTTGGTTGTAAGTTCAAGTTCTGGATTATAACCTGGATGTGCCACTTAGAGGCTTTGTGACCTTGAGCAAGTTACCTGACCTCTCTATGCTTGTTTCCTCACTTAGAGAATTTGGATAATAATTGTATCTCCTTTAATAAGTGGTGGTCCTTGCAAAGATTAACTGAGATAATGCTTATAACGTAAAAGATCCAGGCATAGTGCCTAGTAAATGTAATAACTATTGCTATTGATATAGTTTGTTGTTTTTAGTATTATGAGGGAGAAGTGCTCTGTAGTCACTGCTAAAATTAGAGGAAATGAAGATTGGTGTAAAAAAAAAAAAAGCCTTTTGCTTCCTTCTTCTCTTGGCTGGCTCCTGCTCTTTCTTCAAGCATGAGCTCCTGCCCTAGCTGATTTGGCTCAGTGAATAGAGTGTTGGCCTTCGGACTGAAGGGTCCCAGGTTTGATTCCGGTCAAGGGCACATGCCTGGGTTGTAGGCTCCATCCCCAGTTGGGGGTGTGCAGGAGGCAGCCGATCAATGATTCTCATCATTGATGTTTCTGTCTCTCTCCCTCTCCCCTCCTCTCTGAAATCAATAAAAATATATTTAAAAAAAAAAAAAGGAATGAGCTCCTTTTACGTCATTTGGAACCTCCTGGCTAAGGTGCTGCATTGGTGTGCTGCCCAGCACCTGACCCACATGCTCCGCCTTGCTCCATGGGAAGTCGCCATTGGCCCCGTGGGCTGTGGAAGGCGTCAGCCCAGGGCCCAGCACCTGCCTGCCGCTCAGCTGGAGGGACTCGGTGAGTGGTAGCCGCCCTGAATTATTTCAGACAGATTATTACCGCTGTTCTCTGACGACTGTTGTGCAGGAACGTCTAGGCAGCAAAGCAAGCAGGCACATTTTAAAGCAAGTAATTCTTTGATCTTTTTCACAAGGTGTAAGACTATCCTATTTCATCCTGTGATTGAGGAAATCATACAAACTGCTGCTTTGTCCAAAAAAAAAAAATTATATTTCTGTAACAGGCTTAGCTTCTGACAGGGGGCAGCAAAGCCCATGAAAACAATGGCTGGGCCCGTAGCTGGTGGCTTGCAAGCCTTTGGATCCAGACTGACTTTTCGGCAGAAACCAGGCCTTGATGTCTGGCCAACTCACCGTGGACTAATGGGTGAGTCTGGATCCTAAGGTAAAGGCCGGCTTTTATTAATTTAATATTCTTTGAAGGCACCACAACAATATTTTTAAATGCAAACAGTCCTCTCCCTCACTTCATTCCTGAGGAGGAAAAAACCCCTTTTCCTCTGCTGTGTTTCTCCTTTACTATCCTTCACTTGTGACACTTCTGGTCACCAAATGTGTGGGCTGTCCCCCAGCCCAGCAATTCTCTGCGACACCAGCTGCATAGAATTCAAGTCTCGTGTTGTTATCTGTGCTTTTGACCAACTGGCTATACATTGAGATTCCCGCAGCCCCCTCGTTGGGGTTGACAGTTTGCTAGACTAGCTCACAGAACTCAGGGAAGCACTCTTACCAGCTTATTATAGAACAGTGATGGCAAACCTATGACACACGTGTCAGAGGTGACACGCGAACTCATTTTTTTGGTTGATTTTTCT